TGTCCACTCCATTTTCGAGATCGAACACAAATGATGCATTTGCTTTTCTTAAACTATTCTGAATTTCTTCTTCACTTGCATCTTTGTTTCCGAATAAAATGTTATCCCTTATTGTACCTTGAAGTAATATCGGCTCTTGCTATACATAACCAATAGACTCCCTCAAAGCTCTAAGTGAAATATCATTTATATTGACGTCATCAATTAGAATTTCACCTTGATTTGGAGAGTAAAACCTTTCAAGCAGTTAAATTATAGTACTTTTTCCAGATCCTGACGCTCCAACTATAACTGTGGATGTCTATCCCTTAATATGCAGATTTATATTTTATAGCAAATCATTCTACTATGAAGAGTATCTGAATGATATATTTTTAAAGGTTATTGCTGAGAAATTAGGCAATTATTCCTGATGTTTGACTAATTGCTTAAATGGACTTTATCTATCAATCACATCGAAAATTTACTTCCCAATTATTTTGGCTTTTAATATTGCTTATATATTAGGAATAAGTTGAAATGCCATAGAAGTACAATTTAGAATGCTGAATATATTTGTGAAAATATTTCCTATTGTATAAACTTTACCAGTATTTGGATTTATTCTTTGTTCATCGATGTATATAGTAGCTATCCAAAGATTAAGACTATAGAATCCGAAAATAACAAATTTCAAAATTCCAATAAAAGCGGCAGTCCAGTACTCAGCTTTTATCGATTTATTCTTTGTAATCTCAGCCATTTCTCGGAATTATTCAATTTCTTTTTCTTCTTAAGCAAATGAAAGCACTACTTTAATTCCTTGAAGTGTTTCATCAGTTTTAGTGGTCATTTGTTCAAGAGCTTTGATCTTATTGTATGAGGCTCTCTTCACGAACATTCCAAATACCACCATTATTATAAACATAGCTGGAAAAACAGAAAAAAATATAGCTGCTAAGTCACACCCACTAATAAACGCTATTGCTATTGCCGACAATAAATTTACGATTCCAAATATAATTGATGATAACTTCTATCCAATAGATTCTGAAATTTAAGTAAAATTCTCACCTATCTATGAGGGAAGAGTTTAAATTTTGATTTACTCAAGAAACTCAACTTCTTATTAAAGAAGGGCCTTCAAATATCTTAGTCTTAAATCATATGAAATATTTTCGGCAATATGTTGCCAGAACGCGTAGTAGATGTACCCTGCTATCCAAGTACCCACTGCTAATAGTGCCATTTAGCCTGATATTTCTTTTAATAATCTTCTTTTATAATCAGGCTCATTTGAAGGAAGAAAAGCTTCTCCAAGGTCCCCAATTATTAATGCAAAGCACGGAAGTAATATTCCAGTTGCAACAGCAGCCAATGTACCAATAATTATCATGATTTTATCTTTTTTGTTTGTATAGCTATAAAACTTTCTGAGTGGTAAGGACTCTACTCTTGGTTCTTCTGATTTTGCACTTTTTAGACTCTCTGTATTGTCTGAACTGGTTTGTCTTGTCATTAAATAATATTTTACGAATTAAAATTTTAACTTAGGTAAGTGAGCTTTCTAATAAATCATTGAAGGATAATAGAATAATTTTCAATAAGAATTTACGAAATAGGTTCTTATCCTTAATAATTTCAAAAATTTAACATTTTTTAATAATTTTAAATCCCAATATGAATGGGGTTTTGGGGTT